ATGTGGGACTTCCTTTGGGGTTATCTCCATTTTCCAATGACATTTAGAACGTAAAAGGGGTTAAGTTGAGTTATACCCCTTTTCCATGTGGATTTTCTCCTTAACTGCTTGAAATTCAGTCAAATAATTTGGTGTAATGATGGAAACCATTCTAAGGCACAATAATAAAATAAAAACTCAATTTAGGGATAAGTCAAGTTATTCCCTTCTTCCGCTTCCTGGATCAAATATAGTACGGAGGCACGGAGAAAAGTACGGAACGTTCCGTACGGTAGTTGGCAAGTACGGACGTTCCAGGCAAATTATTGACCAGACATGTTCCGTACTGGGCGTGTCAGATATTTCTAGCACATGCAAATTTCATTTTACAGTATCCTTTAGAAAAAATCTAACCTGATTTTCATCCTCCGACACCATATGACGCCTCGTCAGTGGAGCCTTTGGAGGCGATCTGGCGAGAGCCTCACGCACTTCGCGCAGCAGCTCAGTGTCGCCGCCAACGGACGCGGCCAGGGGACTCCGAATCCCCTGCAGAAGAGCTAAGCAGACGAGTAAAGATAGCATGGCGTGTGCGAAGTGACTCAGAAGCACAGGTTGCCGCTGCTTTTTAAGCACCGTAGCTATCGTCCGACTTCACGGGAAATGCTCAACTCCGCAGGTGGCCACTTGTATCTGGGGCAGGACGCGCTGGCATGCGTTGAGCCCCATCATGGGCAGATTGCGGCGTTTGGCTGGATTCACACCTACGGTCTTTCATCTACACACTTAAGTCCTGACGGATGCAGGTGCAGGGTTTGCAGGTGAGAGTGGGCCACATTGGTTCGCTCTCGAGAGTTCGCACTGATGTGTCATAAGGTACTGAGAATTGTGATTCTCCGTTACTTACTAAGGAACGTGTCTGTTTTTAAGGGGGAACCCTGGTGAAAAAATCGGCAAAATTCCAATAAATTGTATTTTTAAAGTTCATAGATAAAAATGTGCATAGAAGGTTTCAGATTCAACAGGTTGAACACCTTTAAGCTAAGTGAGTAGTTTCTTTATCATTTGGAAGGAAATAACATTGAGATCAGTTGTCGTTGGCTTCTACGCTCAACTTCACAGCTTCACTCAGTCGACAAAAAATTTTGCCGTAGAAAGACTTCCTGCGTTCCTGGTTGACACCCACATGAGTCGTCTTGCATGGACTCTATTCATTGATGACTTGTCGACAAATTTTATTGACGGAATCTTGATATCAGCCCTACTTTTTTTTAAAACACACCTAAGAGTTTGAAAAAAGGGGGAAAAATCACTTTTTTTTAATGTTAAAATTTGAAAACTCATATCTCAGGACAGAAGTTGAATTTGAAAATTCCGTCACTAAAATCTCTTCTATACATCTTTAGGATAACCCCCAAAAAAAAATTTAAGACTTTTCCGTCCCAATGAAAGACGCAGAAGATTTTTCCCCAAAGCTCCAAAAAACACTAAAAAGCCACTTTTCTCAGAGACCGTTCAATATTTTGGATTGAAATTTTTTTTTGGGGAAATCACCATAATGAACCTAATAATTAAGCAAAGTTTCAACTTCCTGGGATTATTTTGAAGCCTACTTGAAAGTTTCACCAGGGTCCCCCCTTAAGCATGTTCAGCATCTTGAGCTGTCTAGAACTTCTGCACGGATTAAATTGTTCATTAGTACTCTCTCATTCCAGAACGTGAAATATCGTGAAATATCACCCGTATTGCTCAACCTAAGTTGGGCAAAAGTTGTGCAATGCTTGGCGCGCGGATAGCTTTAAGATCTGCTGACTCACAATTGGTTCCAAAAATTTATTGTGGGCCAAAAGAGCCTGTTTTTGAAACGGCCGTAGCTCAGTAAACTCTGCAAACTGTACAGAGTGCTCAGTAAACTCTGCAAACTATACAGAGTGCTCGGTACACTCTATTTGGAGTGTACTCATAAGCACACTCCTGTGAGAGTGTGCTCAGCTGAGTACACTCTAACGAGAGTGTGCTTAGCTGAGTACACTCTAACGAAAGTGTGCTTAGCTGAGTACACTCTAACGAGAGTGTGCTTAAGTCTGCACAATTCATGCAGCTGAGTACACGTTCGTGGGAGTGTACTCGTGAGTACACGCTGAAGATAGTGTACTCATGAGTACACGCTAAAGATAATGTACTGAGTACACTGTTGAGTTTGCAGAGAACGTGGGCGACAGACGGTGCTTTGCTGCAAAACGCTCCAGCCACTACGCACCCCCACTAAACGGCGCGTACCCCGAGGATATCATGTGTTTCATTCGGCTATGGCCCTGTGGCACGCCAAGGAGCGACTTATTTGTTCCTCTGTAATTTCACGACATTGATGCGAAATAATTATTCATCACCTACAGAAACAGTAAGACCTACTGTAAAGAAAGAGAGGTTTTCACAACATCAGGACTAGATTCAAATAACCATTTATTCAACATTAAGAACAGTTCATCAATTGGTAGATAAAGAGTGTCAAATCAATAAATACTTAGAACGGAATTGTTAATGGTTCTATCGTCAAAGAGACATTGGCATTTCATTCAAACCTAACACTAATTCGAAGAAAATACTTGAATACGTAAAAACAATGCATAGTCAATTGTTCCACTCACTAGACACAAAGCTCCTTCTCTCCAGCGTGCATACGGAGATGTGTACAAAAGTTGGACGGTTGACTAAACTTCTTATTGCATACTGAACACTCGAACGCCTCATCAGCTGCTGCTAAATGACTATAAAGGTGTGTTTTGAGGTATTGTTCATGGCTAAACTGCTTACGACACTCAGTGCACTTATATGGCTTGCCTTCAGAGTGCGTGCGGTAGTGAATTTGAAGACTGACTTTTTGGCTGAACTTCTTGTAACAGACAGTGCATGGAAAGGGCTTTTCCCCATTGTGAATACGGAGGTGTGTCCGCAGGTTAGCTTGTTGACTAAACTTCTTATTGCATACGGAACACTCGAACGGTTTGTCAGCTGCTGCTAAATGACTGTAAAGGTGTATTTTCAGGTATTGTTCATGGCTGAACTGCTTATGACACTCAGTGCACTTAAATGGCCTGTCTCCAGTGTGCGTACGGAAGTGAATTTGAAGACTTCCTTTTTGGCTGAACTTCTTGTAACAGACAGTGCATGGAAAGGGCTTTTCCCCAGTGTGAATACGGAGGTGTGTCCGCAGGTGAGCCTGGTGACTGAACTTCTTGTTACATGCTGAACACTCGAAGGGCTTCACGTCTGCTAAGTGACTGCGGAGATGTGCCCTAAGGAATCGATCATGTTTGAACTCTTCATTACACACCGTGCACGCAAGGAACTTGCCAGCAGAGTGGCTTCGGAGGTGGCTTCGGAGGTGGCTTCGAAGGTTGGTTTCGGCAGTGAACTTCTTAAAACACACTGAACACTCAAAGGGTTTCTCTCCCGTGTGAGTCCGGAGGTGGGTTTGAAGAGTACCTTTTTGCCTGAAGTACTTGTGGCACAACTTGCACTTAAAAGGCTTCTCTCCGTTGTGAGTGCGGAGATGCGTCTGAAGATTGCCTTTTTGACTGAACCTCATGTGACACACTGTGCACTCAAAGGGCTCTTCTTCAATGTGAATCTTAAGGTGCGTTTGAAGATTACCTCTTTGACTAAACTTCTTCGAACACGTTGAGCACTCAAAGGGTTTCTCTCCAGTGTGGGATCTGAGATGCATCACAAGATGGGCTTTATGGTGAAACTTCTTGTTGCACGCCAGGCACTGAAATTCCTTTCTCCCACTATGGCTACTGAGGCACTTCTTCGGTTCGTCCGGACAGAGCTTCATACTGACGGCCGACTGTGTAGTAGTCCCCTCGGTGGTATCGCTTTTGACTTTCAAAGTAAGCTCCAGAGAAATATAGGAAATCCAATGCTGGGCACTGCTCCCGAGCGAATGAGGTAGAAATGGGTTCCACACGACCTGCAACATCGCCGATTCACTCAGATAATGGGCATAAACTGATACTGGAAGAATGTTCCGTCGTGCTTCAAGGGAAAAGGAAAACATTGAGTCACATAATTATTTACATTAGAACTATTCCTTATGTACAGAGGAATCAACAGCGGAATATTCTGACCATCAAAATTCAAAGCCAAGACGCAAGCTGGATCTAAAACCAAAGTACCAGGGCTCGGCTATGCCCTACGGGTTCAGTGGTTAAACTACATAAAGTGAAGTATTACCCTCTGTTTTCGAGCGTAATCAGTTTACGCTTGAAAACAAGCAAGCGTAACTGGCTCATCGGCCAAGATTCTCCTTATCTAAATGCATGGGGTGAATTTGCCGAGTATGCTTCATTTCAAGCGTAACGTCTTCACGCGTAACTTTATGCTTGACTCACTCAAGCATGGAGTTACGCTATAGTTTTACCAGTGTTGAATTGATTTGAACACAACATTCCTCGCAACAAGCCTCAGAACCTCCCGCAGCGATTATACGAGATGGTATTGTAAGAAACAGTGTTACTGAGTCCTAAAATATTTTTGAGCTTGTACAAAAGTACGCCACATTACGGAACGTAACAGGAGCCCTTTTAAGCGAGGGCTGAATCACTCAGCATTCTTGTGTACACATGAGCACATGAGTACGGATGAGTACATCTTACAAAACTGAAAAACTTCAAGTTTATTTAGTGTTTAGACGACACACAACGCTACATCGTGCTATGAATTTTCAAACTTTGCTCTTTCATAATTTGTGAGTACTGAAAACGGGCCCATTCGTACACATGCGTACACCCCCTCGGTTTTAAGTCAGTCACCTAGAACGCAACGAATATTTAAAAAACAATACCTTCTGAAACTTTAGCATCGTGTTGAAATAGCTGAAGCTTTTCACACTGCAAACCCAATTGTGGGACAGGCATGCACTAGAACGTGGGATAAACAGGGACACGGTGCGTCCCACGTTATCAAGTGTATGCCTGTCCTACATTTGGACTTACAGTGTAGTTTTACGCTCTCATTCCATGCACGTGACGTCACGATGAAACGAATGTGACAAAATGTCACGTTCGTTTGAGCATTGTGTCACATTCGTTTAGATGTGAACCGGCCAAAAATTAGCTTGTTCACATTCAAACGAATGTGACACAATGCTCGAACGAACGTTCGTTTCAACGTGATGTTACGTACTTGGAAGGAGAGTGTATCGTTGGTTTTTCTGAAGTGGGCCTTTCTGGGGAATATTTATTTGATATTTCAAGTCTTTCCCCATTTAAGTACAATTTAATGAGTCTAAAAGCACTGTACAATCTCTCGATCTAGAGACTTTTCGAATGCTTATTTACTTGTTGAACATGAACTAAGATTACTTTCATTTCAAAGTAAGGAGCTAGTTCCTACCTCATGTTCGGAACACTTCTTGGGGATTTTACAGTGAACAGCTGACCAACCATATCAATACTCACAATGAAAAGCACGAAAACACCGACAGTGTTCCTAAATAGGGCTGGACCGGATGCAGTTGGCTGAGGTCCGAGAGCTGCAACAGAAGAAAGAAAACATGGGATTTTAGGACATATGGGTCGTAATTGTGACCTGTCTAATTCACAGATCTCTCAGCAGTATCCGCAAAGTTCTATAACATGATTTATTTATTTTAAAATTCAAAGCAAAAAGTTTTCGCGAACTGACGCGCGCGGCATATACAACCGAGGCTCTAAAAACAATAATTTTTTAAGAAAAATCTCATTCAACGAACGTTAATGAAAGCAGATGATACTCGTTTGGTTTTCTTCTGCGGGGTGGTATGGGCTCATTCCAAAGATAGTACTTAAAATCTCATTCGACGAACGTCTGAACGAGGCCGAGCTGGCGCCGAAGTCGGCACGAGCTGAGCAGAGCCGAGGTCTGCCCGAGTCACCCTTTGAGACGTGGCAGGCGGAGAGGGATTGTCAATGTTGCGCGCGGGCCGTCGCGCGCGGGGAGGGGGTAGGGGGTGCCATTGTCCGCGCAGGCTGCGCCTCACCGCCAGCCAGACACACCACACTGCAGGAAATAACCACAACAAAAGTACACAAATTTCTGGCAAATTTTTTATCAGGTTTTTATTGTACTTTTAAAGTACAACAATTGTTGTACAAAGTACAATGGAACCGGCATGACGAGTGCTGGGCAGTGCAGGCCTCGTTGTGGTTTGTACCATTCTCGTTGTACTTTCTACAATCCCTGTTGTACTTTTATTGTACATTTTTTGTTGTACATTTGTTGTACTATTCACACTTTTTCTTGCAGTGCAGCCCGCCCCGGCCGCCAGCCCCTCTTATATTGTTAGGATATGCGCTTGGTTTCTGGACTTGAGAGTAAAAGCATGCTGACACCTTCATTTGTGTATAGTAGTTTTAAGTATGTTCCAAGTGTGAAGGTATCATCTGCTAATTTTGACATTGACAACTGTTTAGGATGTATGTTTATGGATGGAGAGTAAACAGGGGTACTTAAAATCATACTGATTATTGATAAGCGTCTAAATATGAGGCGAAAACCACGATAAAATATTAGCTGTACTGCGGTGAGTCCCACTAAATCGCGATGCATTTAAATATTATCATGTTTTGTCACATTGTATTCTATTCTGATGGAATTTCTTGCGTTTTTACATGTTCCTGACCATTTGAAACCTTATCTCGGAGTGTATGACAAGTTGGAAACTGAGAAATGCGAAGTGCTTGTATAGCAGAGGTACACTGTCAGAAATTTCCGTAAAAATACGGAAATTTAACGGAGACCGTCCACTTTTTTTAACGGAGATCTCCGTTTTCTTGAATTATGGATTTTCTCCGTAAAAATATGGAAGTTATGTATATAAATGAAATAGAAGCCTTACTTCTCATAAAGAATAGACTAATTCACGTTATCGATGGGTTGGGTGAGCAACTGATTAGGTGTTCCTTCCCTAAGGCAACCTTGCCTTCGGGTTTCCGTCCATTTATCTGATCCAAATGGCATGTGGTCAAGTGGATCTTCAAACAGTTTGGGAGAATATCACTTTCGTCTAAAAGGGCACTGTTTGTATTAACATCGAAGGAGAAAGGAGAGAAGTAAAGCGTTAAAAGACGTTTATTTCTGCAAAAATACGGTCCATCTCCGTAAAAATACGGAAAATCTCCGTAAAAATATGGAAAATTTACGGAGTCTCCATTCCCAAAATTAGAGTAACTTTCTTCGTAAATTTACGGACTTTTTTTTTCTGAGAGTGTAAGGTTCGTGTTCAATTCCACCTTGTTGTTTACAACGGTCTTTGTGACTAGCAATGTAAGTTCAACGGTTTTTCGTCATGGCTTCTATTGTAAAGCTAATTGCCATCACAAACCATTTTTCCAATGATTCATTCAGACTTAATAGAGGAGAGGATGCCCTTATATCAGGTCATGTTATGGCCTGCAATGTTGACAGGGAGAATGGCCACATATGGGGAAAAGTGCAAGCCAGTCAGAGGAAAGAAGTTCGAGAAGTCAAGGTATTTTAGTATTTTGTGAATAAATAAAAAATTGCACTCTTTGGTTTGTAGGATAACTAACTTCTGTTGTCTTTGTTTTATAGGTGTTCTATACACTTAAAGAAGTGAAAGAGGACTGGTGCTCGTGTCCAATTAGAAAGTTTGGAAAGTGCCACCACATTGCTGCCCTACTTCTGTATGCAAACATCAGTTCCACCGATGTCGCCTGTTCCTGGTCCCACAAAACTAAAGCAGGGCATGATAATGAGGGCCTGCCTGTTGACGAATACTATCCGTTGACAAGGCCAGAATACCGTGCTGTTCCAGGCCCTCTAAGTCACAGTGAAATTGGACAAGCCCGTGCCCTGCTTCCAATTTGTGCTGGGGGAGCTCTGTACATGAAGTGGCTGTCTGATCCAGAGCCAGCAACGCCAGCAGTACTGTCCCTTGGCACCGATCCTGTAGTGAATCAATGGCAGCCACCTCAACAGCAAGCAGGGATCAAGATACCACCTGTTGAAGAGGCAATCCTATCACCGGACTTCCAGTACTGTGCTAATCTACAGGAAAAGATAGATTATGTAACAACGTACTGTGATCTCAGTGATGAGGACATTGCAACAACTGCTGCAGCTACATCTGGTCAATCGAACAACTTGTTATGGGGTCAGCTTCACACCCATGTCATGACTGCCAGTAACTTTGGGTTTGGCATCAGGGCAAGTTCCAACCAAAGGTCTTGTGCTACATTGCTCCAAGCTATTGCTGGTAAAAACTGGTGTGAAAAAACTGGAAAAAAGAAGGTTGGGAAGAGTGAAGGTGAAAGGGCGAAGGAGTGGGGGAAGGACAATGAATCAACCGCATTGAAATGTTTTGATTGATTGATTGATTGATTGATTTAAGGTACTTGACAACGGGACTGGGGAGTCCCACGAGCGTCAGTACCGCTCTCACACAATTTTAACATGATTGAAAACATACATTTTACCAATACTTAAGAAATACAGTGTCACAGCCAAGAGGATGACTAATATTTATTGAGGAGTTGACATTTCAGGTTGTTTTTAAAAGTAGTAACATTTCCATACTTAAGGAATTTGAAGCCAGAAAACTTGTTAAAAGCATGAATGGCACTTATACAAAAGGAGTGTGCATACTTTGCAGTTCTGTGAACAGGTATGATCAGTCTATCAGGATGTCTATTTGAGAACTGAAACATTTCAAAGAGATATTGAGGAGTTTGACACTTAAGAACTTTCCAAGACATAATGGCGAGGCTCATGGTCCGCCTGTCATCCAGTTTCAACAGCCCTAAATTACAATAGTGGGGAGTTATATGCTCATTTACTTTACAACCCGTGATAAATCTAATGCACACATTCTCTGCTTTTTGGAGTTTCTCTGTAGTGTACTTGTTCATGTCCGTGAACAAAATTGAGCCATAATCTAGGTGGGGGAGAATCAAACATTGCACAAGACGTAACCTTATGGAAGCAGGAAGACAATCAAAATTCCGCCTTGCTTGAGCCAATGCTGGAGAGGCACATCCAGAGTGCAACATCACTTTAACTGGCATATGGTTCCACCCTAGTGGAATACTGGGAGCTAGTCCTGATGCTCTTATTGATGATAATGCAATAGCTGAAGTGAAGTGCCCCTATTCAATGAGGTCAGTGACAGACATAAGGAGTCATCTTTGTGAAAATTCGAAGAATAATACCAAGAAGAAAAAAAGTGCTCTCTGTATCACTTTTGATGAAGATGAGAATTGTTTCATCGACACTAATCATGATCACTACCATCAAATGCAGGGACAGCTTCTTTGCACTAATCGTCAATCATGCCACTACATAATTTGGACTGCCTAAGACGATCTTAGTGTAGAAATTGAAAGAGATGAAGACTGGGAACTTGGCGAACAATTCGTTGGCGGAGCAAAAAAGTTAGTTCGAGAGACAAAATTATGACTTTGTTCCTTTGACGGATCTTTTGTTTGAGCTAACAGATTGTTTGTTTTGGCAACAAAAATTTTGTAACTCAAACAAAATTTTCGTAACTCCAACAAAATTTTTCGGTTATCACGGAATCAACGCACATTTTCGTTGGGTCAGCGAATTCCTTTTTTCCGTGTAAACAGCTTGTGGTAATTCTCCGCAGCCCCCTTGTCAATATTCTCCGTAGGCTCTTACAGTACTTTCGTAGGACCGCACAGTATATTCTCCGTAGGACCTTACAGTGTTCTCCGTAGAGCTATACAGTCTTCCAGGTCCAGGAGAAGACTGTGTGATCACAGAGAGTACTGTACGGCCCTACGGAGAATACTTTAAGAGCCTACGGAGAATATTGATAAGAGGGCTACAGAGAATCCTGGCAAAAAAATTAACAGAATTTTCCGTACCTTTCTGCCGCAGTGCAGATAAGATCTTTGAATAGGACCCCTCGAATTCGGTCTCCGAGCCGAGAGCTTTTCAGCGAAACGTGTTGTCATCGACAGCGACCGACAGGAGTTCTCTACGCATTTTGTTTCTCTACCCTATCACATCTTCCGCAACGTCACCGTTGGATAGAACAGGCTGTCTTCCCTTTAAGCTTTTTCGACAAGTTAACGCCTTCTTTTTGTAACGCATTCGATTAAGGTGAGGTGTCGGTGAAAATGGAAACTTCTGTATCAATTGGCTTTGGTGATCGAAACTTTAGGGCGTTAAAGCACTAGATAGGAAACAATTACGCATCGAATTTTTATCCAAATCCTCCCAACCATTTAGCCACAGTAGGCTTTTCTCATTGAAATTAAGCGTTTAGTAGAAAAATCAGCCACGCAAAGTTTTTTAATGGAATGATCTGAAATTTGTTTTGGAGTTACTTAACCCCTGTACTTCAATACAACAGAGAGATATTTGAATTTTTCTTTTGTTTTAACAGAGCAAACTTAACAAGGTTTTAATTGGAAAAATTATTTTTTTCTCCATTTTTACCACTGTAAGTTAAACGATGAAAGTGGATAGCTTTGTGAAATATCTCTGTTACATTGTTACATGGACCACAAAGAACTACTCCAAGAAGTATGGTCAGTATTAAACTAAACTATGCGTGCAATGCGTGGCTAGTTGACGGAGTCGAAAAAAAATTTCTTCGACACTTGTCGTAAGAGTTGGGTGACCACACTCTAAATGTCTTAAATTGAAATTTGACCTGTGTTATTCGTATGTTACAGTGAATTCGGCGCAAGCACAATACGAAGCATTATTCCTTCGTCATACGAACCTTTATAGCTTTTTCATTGTAAGATACAAAGAAAAACCTTCGTAATACGAAGAAAAACCACCTTCGTATTATGCTTGCGCCATTTCCTTCGTATTATGGGAAATTTCTTCGTAATACATTTAAAGAGCCGAAAAGGCGCACACTTTTAAAGGTTCAAAACACAGACCTTTAGGACATGCTGTCGGTAATAGAAGACTATTGTACATGAAAATAACAAGTGAATAAAATTTATCATTTTAATGAATTTTGGTACAAATTTTTACCCTCACCTCACCTTAAGGCTATATGATACGGAGGCACATGTGAAATTACTCTTTCCCTTCCAAACACACACCCACGCACTACAAGTACGCACGCTCACCGACAAGCTTCGCAGAGGGACAGCTTAAGCAGACAGAAAGCACGAGGGAAATTCTTCAATAAGATATGGCAAGCCAAATCGGAGGGGAGTTGAAAGTGCGCGCCGCCTGCGAGAGCCAGGTGGGCGTGGGGGCGTTTGAAACAGGAGAGGAAACGGTGGCGCGCGTGGCATCTCTTAGTCAGGCAGCCAAGAGGGAAACCACCACGCCGAGTGTTCGAACTGGCGGCAGAGGGGTTCTGGCTGATCTCTTAATACGTGTGAGTACACATGGGTACGCCAGCACTAGTGCTTCCACCCTCGGGGATATCTTGTATTCTTGGCGTTTGTGAGAATTTTCGAGGCGGTCCAAATTTATATATGTAGAAGTGGATAGGTTTCGAACAAAACAAAGCCAACACATGTCAGGCATGGATGGGACAGCTATTGACCTTCAAAACCTTACACTTTATATTGTCAACAAGTTTCCTTTAAAGGAATTCGGAATTGAAGATCAACCTCTCTTTCACACCCCAACCAACCTGTGACACGTGTGGACAATTTCTTTTGTGTCCTCTAGACGAGTCGATATCAGAAAAGTGATGTCCGATTGAACAGCTTTGTAAATTCACTCGGATTCCTTGGAAATTGTGGTAAGGCGTCCTATGGCTTCAACGGCGGCAGTTACACCGTGATTTCTTCAAAATGTCCTGACACACATTCAGTTCGTCTGGCAGCTTTGGGACTCGTTAGCCAAGTGTGGACCCCCTTGTAGTTCACGTTGTGAAGCTTCGATCACATTTCGACGCCTCCCAACTGCTTGAGCAGATCTAAGACGATCATAACTGTCGACAAGCAGTTGGGAGGCGTCGAAATGTGATCGAAGCTTCATAACGTGAGCTAAAAGGGGGTCCACACTTGGCTTAGGAGTCCCAAAGCTGCCAGACGAACTGAATGTGTGTCAAGACATCGTGAAGAAATCAGGGTGTACTGCCGTCGTTGAAGCCACATGACGTAAAGTCGTCTTTTCTCAAAGTACGTGACGCAAAGATACTCCATCAAAGTTCTTGCCGAAGGGCTTGTTAAAAAAATTCATCCTTAAAAATTCGTGGATATTGTACTTTCGATATATCGCGATTCACTGATTTGCAGTGAAAATACTTCACAAGGTAGGGCACGCCAGACCTTGGCTTGTCGTAACAGGCTTCGCGATGCTGCGCCAGTTCCGAAAATCCACGCCTGGCGTTCACATCTTGGCCTGCGGCGCTGGCCTGCCTTCTGCAGGCTCCGTCCCTTACATCGGCGTACTGATCGACGTGTTCACTGGAAAAACCAAAGCATAGTATTACCCTCTGTTTTCAAGCCTAATCGGTTACGCTTGAAACCATGCGTAACAGGCTCATACGTCAAAATTCCCCTTATCCTAACGCATGGGGGTATTTCCATATTATGCTTCATGTCAAGCGTAATGTCTTCAAGCGTACACTCTAAAAAAAAATCAGTACAGAATTTTGTAACATGGTTACGCAGCTTTTTCAATAACATGTGCTACAGAAATTTGTATCACGATGGATACAATTTTTTTCTTTGTAACTTGGTTACAGAATTTCGTAACGGTTACAAAATTTGTAAACAGTCGTTATTCTTCCAAATCAAGCTTCAAAATGAGAACTTTGTTCGAACGTAGTCTCCGTGGGTCTGATTGAAGGTCCTTATGCCATTCTTCAAGTCACAACTTTCCCAGATGTACTCCGAGAAGTCGGGAATCGAACCCCTAACTCTGGGTTGGCGGCCCGCCACGCTACCAACTGTGCTGTGCGGACGCCGTGGAGGACGCGGCGCAGGTAGCCGGTGACCTGAGGCGCGTGCGGTAAGGGACGGAGGCCTTGTCAGCCAAGCATACACGAGACTGAATCTCTTATTCAGAGTCGGGAAAAATAAAAGCACATGAAAACTCTAAGTTTAACTTGTCTCTATGGGCACTGCTGTTCAATTTTGCCGTTAAAACATTATGTTTTAATCTCTGATACAGAATTTAGTATCCAGTTACAATTTTCTGTATCAGTTATGTTACAAACATAATATTGCAACCTTCATGTAACAAATTTCTGTATCAAGGTCCAAAATGATTCATTTTTCTGTAACCGGCACATCTGTTACAAAATTCTATATCACTGATACAAACATCACTGTTAAAAAAAATTCTTAAATTTAATACATAATCTCATCTTAATTTTAATAACCTTTTGTAAGGATATGAAAACTCATAAAGTTTTGTGAAGTTTAAGAAAATTTTTTACATTTACCAAAACATTTCTGACAAGTAATGAAAATATTGGTAACTTTCAGAAACTTTATTAAAATTGAAAAACAGGTTCATAAAATTTGAGATTGTTTGCCAAATGCAATAATTTGTTTCTTAAAATTCAAAATTACTATGACTTTTCTTATTTGATTCTCATCCTGCCAGTTAAAATTGTGATCATTTGACGCTCCACTACCAGTGTACGTAAAGAACAAATTTGGATGATCTTCCTCAAGTGAAGTCGTGTTTGGAGGCCCTTGGATGAGCGCTTCCGCTGCCTAGCGGAGTCTCCGCCGAGAGGCTTGGAGTCATCATCCACATCCTAGGGCCCGCCTCCCAGAGCTCACTCGTGGCGCAGTTGGTAGCGTCACGGTGCAGTAATCCGGTATCCCGGGTTCGAGACCGAGTTGCAACCACGCTTCCAAGCATCTTCGGCAGTGAAATCGACTACTACCATACAATGAATAACTCATAACGTACATAATGCGTTCAATTTTTCCCTACTCTATATTAAATTCTTCTTAAATGCAAAACTATCTTTTAAGAAACAGATTATTACTTTTCATATTTGGTTCTTACTTTTAAGAAGAAAAAGTTTATTAATTTTACTAGCAAAAAGTCTTTGTAAACTGCTTCATAAAAAAGTTTCTTAAAATTAAGATGGATTTTTTTAACAGTGTATTTGTAACCAATGGAGGTGATACCAAATCCTGCATCAAAAATGATACAAAATTCTGTAACTTTTTTTAGAGTGTACACGGTAAAAACGGTTCCTGGTTTTCCCAGGAACTCCCTGGAAATCGCCTGTGCCTTCACCATTGGCTTCCTGGGAAAACCAGGTTCCGTTTTTACCGTGTAACTTTATGCTTGACTAGCATCACTCAAAAACTCTCTTTCTTGGATCTAGTATATATCCATACTAAAACATATTCTAAAGAAATCCTCTAATCAGTATACTAACTTTCAGTATATATTCTCAAAGCTAGTATATTTCCATACTAATACATACTCTAAAGAAATCCTCTTATCGATATACTAACATTCAGTATTTATTCTCATAACTAGAAAGTTTGCATTGTAACTTGTACAATGTCCTCAGAAATTTGAATACTTATGCTACACACTCACTGCAAACTAAGTTGAAATACTGTTGTCCTTGGATAGACATTCAGGTTTGTTTTAAATTTATTCCTTTTCAAATAATTAATCTTTTAAAATATTAGTTTTCCATGAGATGAACCCAGAATTATTGTTGAAGCTTCATAAGTTTTCAAACGATTGAGGTTTACGTAGAAGAAATTTTGTCGTCTCCCACACAAATTTCTAAAAACATTGGCAATGATTGAGGGGTGTAAAAACTGACACTGGTGGCTATACCACAAGTGGAATTCTGTTTCAGAATTGAATTCATTTCAGTACATCCCTCAGACAAAGTGACCAAAAGTCTGCGACAAGTTGACGTAAACTGACTTTGTCGTGAAAGTCCAAAAGAAAAGTTAAATCTTACACTTCACAAATTTTCCATGATCATTAGAAGTACAACTGTTTAGATTATTGTCTTAGGGACTACAACAAGTGTGAAAAGAATTACTTTAATGCAACTTTAAGTTTCAGAGATCTATAAAAATTATTAGTGCTTAATTATATATTTTTTTTTTTTTCAAAATCTCTCTACCATATTGAAATTAGCAAAGTAAATACTAGTAATCTATTGAGTTACCCTTTTGTTAAGTACAGTCGGAGCCAAACAAATAATATTCTAGAGCTACAAAATGGATAGTATTGTCATCATCCGCTAGGTGGCGCTAGTGTCGCTCTATTTACGTCTTGGGTTAAAAAGTGCTTTTGCAGCCGTAATATGGTGTCCTTCTTATTAAAAACCTATACAGAATAAACGTTTGAGGTGCAATGACTCTCCCACGGCAAAATTGATTTCTATCGCTTCAATATTAGCTCAATAAATGTGAGTATAAGTTCGCTCTCACGCACGGCTCCGGGTCGTCGCTTGATAGGGTTCAGGGGCTCTGCCACTCCAGTCAGCACCACGGGTCATCAGCTATGGTCACTGTGAGGAGAATTTTTGATAGTGCTGATCTGCTATCTGGGCACTCTGATATTCGACGCGTAGTCAGAGGGACCCAGGCGATAATTTTAGATATTCCACGGATCCAGGAAGTTAAATTGATTTAGCTGGTGATCAGCATTATGTGAGAAAAATATACTAAAGTTTAGAATATGAGTGAAGAAAACAGCCTTCTAAAAACAAGAATACACATTCTTAATTTAAGAGTGTCGCATAAGAAAAATATACTAAGACTATTTCCCTCTTAATTTAAGTATATTATACTAGGTTCGTATTTTAGACTAAAATATACTAAAGATAAGTATGCCTATCTTATTCCAAGAATCTCAGTTTTTGAGTGATAGAGTAACGTTTTAAAACGTAACTAAATAGTTTTACGAGTGTTCGCTAGTCCAAACAGCATTCGGGTTTTCTATTATTGAGGGCGCCCTCAGAACCCCCCTTTCGAGTACGTACACTGTAAATCCAAAGGCGATACTCTTATTGCCTTTTTTGGCGATGCAATTGAGTGTCGCCAATTAACGGCCTTACGGAAAAGTAATGCCTTCCAAACGGCAGTACACAGAAATATCGCAAAAATTTGGAAGTTCTTAGTTTAATGGCGCAAGGCGATACTTCTTGTGCATCGTCATTCTGAAGGCAAGATTTGTTTGGTAAGGCCGTTTGTTGGCGATTCTACATGGTATCGCCAGTAAAGGTACTTCAGCATTGCATTTGCATTGTATGAAGTTACCGGTCTTCCTGGTCTTACTGCAAGACACCTTTGAGCTTGGCACCCTCGAGAACGTCAGACATTTTGAAAATTGACAGGCTGAAAATTCTGTTCAAATTATGCAACGGGCTTCCTGGTCTTACTGCAAGACACCTTTGAGCTTGACACCCTCGAGAACGTCAGACATTCTGAAAATTCTGTTCAAATTATGCCTAATTGCGATTCCAACCTGATTCTGGGGTCAAAATGTGTTCAATTAGAAAGTATTTGTCTCTCCGCCAGGTGGTGCCAGTGCCGCCCCGCGTGGAAGGATTTGTAGTTGAACTGAAGATGAAACTGCAGTTGTTCATCTGCAGCTCGTTTCTGTAGTTCTTTACTTCCCTTTATTTTAGTATGTGTAAGAGCCTGTTGTTAAAAAGCCTCTTTTTTCTGTTTCAATATTTACTCCTCAAAATAGATGTCACTTTATTGGCTGTGCCGAAAGACATGCTCCTATGCCAGAATTATATCTGCTAAACGTACGAGTTTAACAATTGTCACTAGAAGTTACCTCTCGCGGGTGGCTCCGTGCCGCGATTTCCTGGGTGCGTCAGGCCAACCCTTGGTGAGGCCGGGGAAGAGTCCTCCAACAACGGGACTTCCCTACACTCAATTTACTACCGAGACGGTCCCCTGGAGCACGTCTCTCACATGAGGTCCAAATGCATTCATCATTGTTTTTCCGAGTTTTGGGAACACTTGCCTGCTGTGACTTCCAGACCAAAAATCAGATAATTCAGAAAATTTTGGACGAATATTGTAGACCACGAGCAGCCTATTAGCTAAAGACTTATTTCGGACTCCAAAGGATTTAGTCAAAATTTTCAGTAGGCGATTCTGCATATTTACTCAAGTCGAAACAGTCTGAAGTTTCATCAAGAAACAAATTAACAGTGGGGCCGAGGGGAAATCACTCGCGCAATAGTCGGGTCGTCACCGATTCCTAGTACACGGAAAAAAAAGAAATTCGCCGATTCAACGAGAAAATCGCTGATAGCGAATTTCGGCCTTCTAGATTTGAGACGAGGGGCAAATTCGCTGAAACAGCGAACTTTTGTTCGCCAAACAAATATTCTCTGGAATAGCAAACAAATATTGCTGGGATTGCGATTCATGAACGCTGGGGCAGACATGGGATATTGGCTAGGAATGTGTTAGCGACTTCTGTTCGCTGAAATAGCGAACAGTCTTTGCCCTAGCAAAAAGCGTATCGCTGGCTCATCCAGCGTTAACATGCTTGCTGCTTGACGTTGGTCCAACCCAATGGATTTGCACCGTATGGTACCAGGTGACGCTCAGCTTGACAAATATTCAACCTCAGTAGGATTTGAACCCGTGATCTCCTCAATACGAGACGCACGCTTTGCCTCCAGACTACCATGTCATTCTCCTCGCATCAGCCAGAGGTTCGCACTTGTGTCCTGCGCCCACCTCTGGCATGGTGTTTGTTCGTTTAGCAAATAAATTCGCTCGTAGGTAGGCAAAATGTGATTGCTAAATTAGCCAACTGGGGTTCGCTAAACTAGCGTTCTAAATCCTTGTGTCAGCGTTTATTTTCGCCACTTCAGCGAACTTTAGTCTAGCAAACGCAGTTTCGCTGGAGTAGCGAAATAATTTTTTTCCGTGTATTACGCGTAATAGTAATAGCGTAATAGCCAAATGTTTTAAAATTCTGCCTATTTAGGGTCCGATTTTAGCCTAAACCTTGTAATTTTCAAGCGTTACAAGCCTTCTGTAATAGAACGTAATAGGGAGTAGTCGGGTCACAGTTTTTAAGAGTGATTTCCCCCTCAAGTGGGACTGTGTCGGTGCATCTCTCATGCATTATGTTGCTTTGTGCAGATGGAGTGCTCCGTGTGCTTCGATGTCTACGACGTGGACGGGCGCCGCCCGAAGGTCCTGCCTTGCGGACACACATTCTGCCTGCCCTGCCTGCAGAACCCCAACTTCGGCAATGAATGCCCTCAGGACAGGAAGGTGAGATCAGACCCGATGTCAGTCTTTCAGTTTCAGTGAGCAGCAGCAGGATTGTCAGTGACTTACGTCTGTTAGATCTCAGTCACATCTTTCGCCTCCTTTCGATAGGTGCACAGTGGGCCAGAAGGCCGGTTTGAGGCGGGCTAAACTCTAGACGCGATTCGAGCTCCAGAATCGCTAAATGGGACTCGAACCGAACGTGTGACCCCACCAATGGATTGCTCTCCGAACAAGGAATCCATTGTTGGGGTCACTAGTTCAGTTCGAGTCTCTTTGAGCGACTCTGGAGCTCAAAACGAGTCTAGGATTTTGGCCGCCTCCGTCGGTCTTCTGGCCTACTGTGAGGTGCCACTTGCCATGGTAGCTATTACTGTATGTCCTTTGGGCATTGAAAAGGTTCTGCTGGTCGAGTAGTATTCTGAGCTGAAGACATCGGACATTAAACTCGGGAGTTCTTCACTAACCCGAATTATCACTTGCCCGAATTGTCACTTACCCGAATCTTCACTAGCCCGAATTATCACTAGCCCGAACATCCCACAAGGCAGTTTCAGTAACCCGAATTTGTCACAAACCCGAATTATCACTAGCCCAAATTTTCCCTGAAGTAGTTCCGCCCTTTTTGCAATTTTATGGTTGTGTCTCACTAGCCCGAATTATCACTTGGCCGAATTGTCACTAACCCGAAGGCCACGTCTGTGGAATAAGTGTTTGACAAACCCCGAATTGTCACTACCCGAAACTCGGCACCGGGGTGGGGAAGTATCCGCTTCTGCGGGGTTAGATCTGCCGCGAATAGGGCTGGTCTGTCGCGGTTCGAGTAAGAACTGTCGCGGTTAGAGTAAGATCTGCCCTAGTTAGAGTAAGATCTGTCTTAGAGTAAGATCTGTCTTAGAGTAAGATCTGTCTTAGAGTAAGATCTGTCGCAGTTAGAGTAAGATCTGTCGCGGTTAGAGTAAGATCTGTCTAAGTTAGAGAAAGATCTGTCTTAGAGAAAGATCTGTCTTAGTTAGAGTAAGATCTGTCTTAGTTAGAGAAGGATCTGTCTTAGTTAGAGTAAGATTTTCGCGAGCCCGTTAGGTTAGTATAGGTTGGACAGTTTATTTTCAGACACTCTTGAAGACACTAGGTGTGGCCACCCCCTCCACATTTCGGGTTAGTGACAGACAATTCGGGTTAGTGGGACCAGGAATGGAAACGCTCCGCTTTCGGGCTAGTGACAATTCGGGTTAGTGAAAATTCGGGCCAGTGAAACAACGCTCCTGCACGCATGTTTTCGGGCTATGAAATTTCGGGCTAGTGACAATTCGGGTCAGTGAAAAAAATTTCTTTCTGGACTAAATGGTCGTGTTTTCGGGTTAGTGATAATTGGGCCTAGTGAAGATTCGGGTTAGTGACAATTCGGGCAAGTGATAATTCGGGTTAGTGAAGTAGACTCGTGAGAATGGCCCTGCCCCCGCCCTGCCCCCGCAATTCTGCGAACAGTTAGTTCGCAATTCTGCGAACAGTTGTTCGCAATTCTGCGAACAGTTAGTTCGCAATTCTGCGAACAGTTAGTTCGCCGCGAAAAAAATTAGTTGCGTTTGCTTACACATAGGTTGGCATGTTTTTTAAGAGTGCTCCCCGGCCATTGCCTCAACTCTTCCTTTCGTTTTGGGCCTTCAGGGACAACCCCATGAACTTCCCCGACAACTTCGCGCTGCTTGCGGAGATGCCAGCTAGGTGAGTGAGATCTTTTAGTGCCCCTGTCCGTCTGTGGATGCCTTTACCAACGACACTAATAACTAATTCATTTAAGGGACTGGATCTAAAAACATTTGTTTTGTAAATGAATCCCTGTGAAAATTTGTTTAAATTCAAAATACGAAGATAACTTTTAAAAATAACTATTAACTATTATAACTATTAAAATTTGAGTGCTCTCGTGCTTTGTTCTGAACCCACTCGAAAAATCTCCTTGCCTGGCTTCAATTTTAAAATTCGTTCGCGTCCTGTCTAAACGTACCAGTTTGGTTGGTCTTGCCGATTTTCTTTAAGGGGAGGTTCTGGTGAAAATGCTATTTTCTCCTAAATAGGTCCCGCTGTGAAAATTAGTAAAAAATTTGATTTTTTTCCAAGTAATTAAAAAAAATTTTCATTGGGGACTCACATTCTATGCTCTGAACCCAGTTGCAGAGCCATTTTCTCCTATTTAGGCTTAACTTTGAAAATCTTCTTGCGCATACTATTTTGTCGGAAAAGGTTGGCCTTGGCTTTTTTCACTTCTTCGATTCATTTTTGAAAGATGCCGGCATGCACAACTCAATATGTAAATTACATTTTCATTCGCAAGCTTTCTAACCAATCATGTCACTATAATGGAGCAAAAAGTACAAAATGACAAATTTTAGGGACTTTTCAGTTTTAAAAAGCTTACAGTAATAATATAATGGAAATTTTGAGCTATGCATCCCGGGAAATTTTTTTGAAAATGAATCGAAGAAGTGAAAAATGTCAAGGTCAACCTTTTACGAAAAAATAGTATGCGCAAGGAGATTTTTTAAGATACAGCCGAAATAGGCTCAAAAAGACTCTTCGACTGGGTTCAGAGCCTGGCATGTGCCTTCAAAAATCAAATTTTAGTCTCCTCAAAGAAAGATTTTATATTCCGAACAAATTATGACACTGGGATCCATTTGGGAAATGGCAAGATTTTCACCAGAACCTCCCCTTAAGTCACGTAAAATTTTTGTTTTAACCGATTGTACTAAGTAATATGCTCTTTTAAAATTTAAATTTGATGATGCTGGAATCTTTTATTATTATGGAAAGTTTTATGTATTAAGGGGGGACCCCGGTGAAACTTTCAAGTAGGCTTCAAAATAATCCCAGAAAGTTGAAACTTTGCTTAAATATGAGGTTCATTATGGTGAGTTCCCAAAACAAAATTCAATCCAAAATGCTGAACGGTCTCTGAGAAAAGTGGCTTTTTAGTGTTTTTTAGAGCGTTGGGGAAAAATCTTCCTGCGTCTTTCATTGGGACGGAAAGTCTTGAAAATTTTTTTGGGTTATCCTAAAGATGTATTGAAGAGATTTTAGTGACGGAATTTTCAAATTCAGCTTCTGTCCTGAGATATGAGTTTTCAAATTTTAACATTTAAAAAAAAGGGATTTTTTTCCCTTTTTTCAAACTTTTAGGTGTGTTTTAAAATAAGTAGGGCTGATATCAAGATTCCGTCACTAAAATTTGTCGACAAGTCATCAATGAATAGAGTCCATGCAATACGACTCATGTAGGTGTCAACCAGGAACGCAGGAAGTCTTTCTACGACAAAATTTTTTGTCCACTGAGCAAAGCTGTGAAGTTGAGGGTAGAAGCCAACGACAACTGATCTCAATGTTATTTCCGTCCAAATGATAAAGAAACTATCCACTTAGCTTAAAGGTGTTCAACCTGTTGAATCTGAAAGCTTCTATGCACATTTTTATCTATAAACTTTAAAAATACTATTTTTGGCAATTTTTGGGGGTTTTTCACCAGGGTCCCCCCTTAAGTTTGAACAAAGAGTTCGTGTGCTCAAAAAGCTGTGATAGCTCGTTCAAAATTGTACAAGATTGAGTGTGAACATATGTTAGTTATGGACAAATTTGTACATAAATTAGGTACTTTTTAAACGTGCTTCCACTATCTCTTTTTCTGGCAGGGCCGACGAGCCTTGGTGTGAGACGTGTGGTCTTCGGGTTTCCCCGGTGCCTGTGCCGACGCCGCCCACAGGCCTTGCAGCGTGCGCCAGAGGCGTGTTCAGCAGGAGCAGCGCCAGGCTGATCAGCAAGTTCTCCAGGACCTGCAGCAAGGTCTTCAGACCCTGCAGCAAGGTCTTCAGGACCTGCAGCAAGGTCTTCAGGACCTGCAGCTAGGGCATCTGGACCTGCAGCTAGGCCTTCAGGATGTTCAGCGTGAGATGCAGGACATGCGGCAGACGCAAGATCAGCTTTTGCGCAAGGTGAGAGATAAACGCGCGTTCATAGCAGACAAAAGCCATTTGCTGTGAACCCAATCAAATGGGCACTATTTAGCCTATTTAAGGTGAGGTGTGGGTGAAAATTTTTACCAAAATTGATTAAAATGATAGATTTAATCCACTTGTTATTTTAATGTAAAATATTCTTCTATTACCGACAGCATGTCCAACGGTCTGTGTTATGAACCCCTAAGTGAGTGGTTTATCTAACATGCCTAGTGAAGATTCGGGTTAGTGACAATTCGGGCAAGTGATAATTCGGGTTAGTGAAGTAGACTCGTGAGAATGGCCCTGCCCCCGCCCTGCCCCCGCAATTCTGCGAACAGTTAGTTCGCAATTCTGCGAACAGTTAGTTCGCAATTCTGCGAACAGTTAGTTCGCAATTCTGCGAACAGTTAGTTCGCCGCGACAAAAATTAGTTGCGTTTGCTTACACATAGGTTGGCATGATTTTTAAGAGTGCTCGCCGGCCATTGCCTCAACTCTTCCTTTCGTTTTAGGCCTTCAGGGACAACCCCATGAACTTCCCCGACAACTTCGCGCTGCTTGCGGAGATGCCAGCTAGGTGAGTGAGATCTTTTAGTGCCCCTGTCCGTCTGTGGATGCCTTTACCAACGACACTAATAACTAATTCATTTAAGGGACTGGATCTATAAACATTTGTTTTGTAAATGAATCCCTGTGAAAATTTGTTTAAATTCAAAATACGAAGATAACTATTAAAATAACTATTAACTATTATAACTATTAAAATTTGAGTGCTCTCGTGCTTTGTTCTGAACCCACTCGAAAAACTCTCCTTGCCTGGCTTCAACTTTAAAATTCGTTCGCGTCCTGTCTAAACGTACCAGTTTGGTTGGTCTTGCCGATTTTCTTTAAGGGGAGGTTCTGGTGAAAATGCTATTTTCTCCTAAATAGGTCCCGCTGTGAAAATTAGTAAAAAATTTGATGTTTTTCCAAGTAATTAATAAAAATTTTCATTGGGGACTCACATTCTATGCTCTGAACCCAGTTGCAGAGCCATTTTCTCCTATTTAGGCTTAACTTTGAAAATCTTCTTGCGCATACTATTTTGTCGGAAAAGGTTGGCCTTGGCATTTTTCACTTCTTCGATTCATTTTTGAAAGATGCCGGCATGCACAACTCAATATGTAAATTACATTTTCATTCGCAAGCTTTCTAACCAATCATGTCACTATAATGGAGCAAAAATGTACAAAATAGACAAATTTTAGGGACTTTTCAGCTTAAAAAGCTTACAGTTAATAATATAATGGAAATTTTGAGCTATGCATGCCGGAATTTTTTGAAAATGAATCGAAGAAGTGAAAAATGTCAAGGTCAACCTTTTACGAAAAAATAGTATGCGCAAGGAGATTTTTTAAGATACAGCCGAAATAGGCTCAAAAAGACTCTTCGACTGGGTTCAGAGCCTGGCATGTGCCTTCAAAAATCAAATTTTAGTCTCCTCAAAGAAAGATCTTATATTCCGAACAAATTATGACACTGGGATCCATTTGGGAAATGGCAAGATTTTCACCAGAACCTCCCCTTAAGTCACGTATAATTTTTGTTTTAACCGATTGTACTAAGTAATATGCTCATTTACAATTAATTGATGATGCTGGAATCTTTTATTATTATGGAAAGTTTTATGTATTAAGGGGGGACCCTGGTGAAACTTTCAAGTAGGCTTCAAAATAATCCCAGAAAGTTGAAACTTTGCTTAAATATGAGGTTCATTATGGTGAGTTCCCAAAACAAAATTCAATCCAAAATGCTGAACGGTCTCTGAGAAAAGTGCTTTTTAGTGTTTTTAGAGCGTGGGGGAAAAATCTTCCTGCGTCTTTCATTGGGACGGAAAGTCTTGAAAATTTTTTTGGGTTATCCTAAAGATGTATTGAAGAGATTTTAGTGACGGAATTTTCAAATTCAGCTTCTGTCCTGAGATATGAGTTTTCAAATTTTAACATTTAAAAAAAAGGGATTTTTTTCCCTTTTTTCAAACTTTAGGTGTGTTTTAAATAAGTAGGGGCTGATATCAAGATTCCGTCACTAAAATTTGTCGACAAGTCATCAATGAATAGAGTCCATGCAATACGACTCATGTAGGTGTCAACCAGGAACGCAGGAAGTCTTTCTACGACAAAATTTTTTGTCCACTGAGCAAAGCTGTGAAGTTGAGGGTAGAAGCCAACGACAACTGATCTCAATGTTATTTCCGTCCAAATGATAAAGAAACTATCCACTTAGCTTAAAGGTGTTCAACCTGTTGAATCTGAAAGCTTCTATGCACATTTTTATCTATAAACTTTAAAAATACTATTTTTGGCAATTTTGGCGGTTTTTTCACCAGGGTCCCCCCTTAAGTTTGAACAAAGAGTTCGTGTGCTCAAAAAGCTGTGATAGCTCGTTCAAAATTGTACAAGATTGAGTGTGAACATATGTTAGTTATGGACAAATTTGTACATAAATTAGGTACTTTTTAAACGTGCTTCCACTATCTCTTTTTCTGGCAGGGCCGACGAGCCTTGGTGTGAGACGTGTGGTCTTCGGTTCCGCGGTGCCTGTGCCGACGCCGCCCACAGGCCTTGCAGCGTGCGCCAGAGGCGTGTTCAGCAGGAGCAGCGCCAGGCTGATCAGCAAGTTCTCCAGGACCTGCAGCAAGGTCTTCAGACCCTGCAGCAAGGTCTTCAGGACCTGCAGCAAGGTCTTCAGGACCTGCAGCTAGGGCATCTGGACCTGCAGCTAGGCCTTCAGGATGTTCAGCGTGAGATGCAGGACATGCGGCAGACGCAAGATCAGCTTTTGCGCAAGGTGAGAGATAAACGCGCGTTCATAGCAGACAAAAGCCATTTGCTGTGAACCCAATCAAATGGGCACTATTTAGCCTATTTAAGGTGAGGTGTGGGTGAAAATTTTTACCAAAATTGATTAAAATGATAGATTTAATCCACTTGTTATTTTAATGTAAAATATTCTTCTATTACCGACAGCATGTCCTAACGGTCTGTGTTATGAACCCCTAAGTGAGTGGTTCATCTAACATGCACTGGTGTATGCATTCGCCTTTTCTGGTCACCCAACTCTTATGACAAGTGTTGAAGAAATTTTTTTTCTACTCCGTCAACTGGCTACGCATGCAGTTTTGTTTTATACTGGCCATACCTCTTGGAGTAGTTCTTTGTGGTCCATGTAACAGAGAGATACTTCAAATAGCACACTTTCTTAAATCGTTAAACTTAAAGTGGAAAAAACTTATTTTTTCCAATTAAAATATTGTGAAGCTTGCTCAGTCAAAATAGAAAAATAAAATTCAAATATCTCTCTGTTACATTGAAGTACAGGAGTTTAGGTAACTCCAAAACAAATTTCAGATCATTCCGTCAAAAAACTTTGCCTGGCTGATTTTTCTACTATACGCTTAATTTCAATGAAAAAAGCCTACTGCGGCTAAATGGGTGGGTAGATTTGGATGAAATTTGGTGTGTAATAGTTTTCTACCTAGTACTTACACGCCCTTAAGTTTCAACCACCACAGCCAAGTGGTATAGAAGTTTCCATTTTCACCCACACCTCACCTTAATTGGGTTCAACCCATTCTGATGGGTCTAACCCATGTAATGGGTGCGTGAAAAGTACCCATGTAAACAGGTTGCACCCATAATGGGTCTGACCCATTGCAAAGTGTCGAAGGACTAGACCTTTTATTATTTCTGTTACAAAGAATTCTAGTCTATCCTCCTTGATGGACGTTAACACGCCAAGAACACAACGGTAGTGTTGGATTTGGCCTAATGGTGGTGTTGGATTTGGCGTAGCTGCAGTAGTTTACAAGTTACCCTTTATAGGCTGGCGGAGTGGGCCGAATCTGTGTTCATCCGCGAGGACCAGAGGGACTATGTTACAATGCTAATCTTATGGGGCCTAATTTTGCAATGGCAATTATGAAAAAACTACTCAAAAGTTAGCAGTTTAACCATACAATTCGTAAAAGCTGATTTTTTTCGGAACCCACTGACGTCAGATCCTTCTTTACTGCTGAATTTCGTCAAAACCGATGTACTATAATCACGATAAAATTCACTGCTAATCCAAGTGTGGACCTGGTCCACACTTGGATTAGCAGTGTTCCGATGTTTCGCGGACATGTCACATTACCTCAATTATAGTGCCCCACTTCATTCTAGAAACGGTTTAGATGTATCATTACAGAAAAACGATGCGTCATTTCTTTTGAAATCAGCGAAAACCGGGACATTTATATGTTATGTTGACCGCGCGGAGGGATACGACTCCGCCAGCCTATAGGTGTGAACGTGAAGCGGTTTCGCCTACGTACCGTCAACGGGGGTAACTTGGGACACTTTTTCACGCTTTATGAACGCCAGAGGCAAGATTCTCAACCCAGACCAATGGATCCTAACTGTGTTAAATTTTGACCCTTTTCCCATGATTTCATGCTTGTCAGGTTCATTTGCCTCGATTATATCGTTTCCCAGCGGTCCCGAAAGAGTGTCCCAAGTTACCCCATGACCGGGGACAGCAGGTAAATAGCTGCATTCTCATGCATCTATTGATGTTAATGGATGTAATGAATTTAAGTCACAACATGTAGACCAAGAATTCAGGCCTAGGAACACTTGAAGGACCGATATTGGACTATATATAGGACTCCACGTGGAACTCTCTTTTCTACTGGTATTACACTGGTAGAACTCAAGCGTAGTTTTACGCCTTTCTTCAAGCGTAGTAGAGCTACGCTCGGCTTCAAGCATAGTTCTCCACTTTGCCCCTCTCCCGCCTATCGAAATGCATGGGAGAATTTCTTCTCTACGCTTGACGTCAAGCGTAAAGTCTTGCTTGAATCAAGTATACAACTACGCTTCAGTTTTACCGGTGCATCCAAGCATTTTCTGAAAATTTCAAAATATGGATTACCAGAAGACAAAACTGCAGAGCAAGGCACCCCTTTCCATCATCAGCGTAAAATCCGAAGTTTAAGTTATGTCAGAGACCGAGTCAGTCAACTCCTAGAAGGCTAAGACTGCTGGAAACATGAGGAAAAGACTGTCCCAAGTTACCCCGTAAAATTTCGAGTTTTGATAAATTGATGTCTGGACCGAAGATGGGAAAACTGAAATCAACGCCCTTTTGCGAACGTTATTGTCTATGTATGATCTAACAACCCATAGAGACTAATCGGCCAAATCTGCATTTCACTCCTTGCACTAGGGTCAACTTGTCAATGATTGACATATTTTGTCAAAAACCCTATTATGTAGTTTCCCGTTTCTCAAATACTAATTGTGATGTTATGCACCTCTTCCACCTTTCCGCGCGTGCCCTGAGGCCTCTCAGGGGGCGGCAACGGCCTAGGAAGCGCGTGAAGCCATGCGCGAGTGAGGTGCAGGGGTTACTTATTTTGCTTCGATTGTAAGATCTAGGCCATTAATTGCAAAACGCTTTGCACAGATCAAAAGAGCACAAAATTTGGGGTGCATTAGGCCTAGTAGACTGCCCGGTACTTCCAATTGAACCGAACACAAGGGCGGAATCATTTACATCAACATGGCGCATTCGAGTTTTTTCCTAAATTTGATGATTTCTCGTGTTTTTCGGGGGTTTTCACTGCACCTTAACATCAGGTAAGGGGGGAGTTTCGAGAAGAGCAATACGCCTAATGCACCCTAAATTTCAAGCCCTTTCCATCGGTGCAAAGCGCTTTGAAAAAGACAGTCTAGTTTTCATAATCCCGAACAAGTGCGCAACCTCTTCTCTGACGGCGCGAGCATCGCTTCACGCTCTTTCTAGGCGGTTGCCACCCCCTGGGCCTCTGAAACAAAATCCTGCTGCGGGTTTGACGCTAGGAGCCCACGTCGCTGAATGGCAGCATCTACAAGCTGTACAGGGTAGACTGTCCCAAGTTACCCCTGGTGTCCCAAGTTAACCCTGTTGACGGTAATTTCACGTCATTTTTGCCTAGTTGGCAGGTCCTACTGGACAAAGCCTATGAAGTGTTTGCCTCATAATTACAAAGAAAATGAGGGCATTGTAAATTAGCTTCGTGTTACAAGGATTATGCTTCACGAAGCATTTCTTTGTGGATTTTACAAAGCCTTCGTCTTCTACGAAGTGATTCTTCGTAGAGTTTTAACTGTGTACCAAAATGCGGAGTTTTAGGAGTTTTTCCTTTTGGTTGGTGCCGCATTCCCTCCCACACTGTCGGGACGGCTGTTCTGTGGTTGGATGGGGTCATACTTACCACTTACTGAAGACAACATTTCGAGATTCAAAATCTTAAGCGCTGGCGAATTTCACTCAGTTTGATCATTTGATACTGCTACAAATCAATACGATTTGTGATTTAATTCACTTAAATCTGAAGATGAAAGTGCAAAGAAACCAATAGCGCACGTAGAAATATGTTCTGCTTCCTCTCGTATCCGTCCCAAGCGGTCAAACTGGGCGAAACTCGCCTGCGTTTAAGATAGGATTCTGGGGGAACGGCCAGATGAGATCTTCTGATTAGGACCCCTCGGTTTGCAGCTTGGCGGGACCGGGACACACCCTCCTATCGTAAAACCAAGGTCATTTTCGGAATCAGTACGAAACAAAAGAAACTTTTAAACCGCGCTGACCAATAGTTGTGGTCGGAAAGTCGTCCCTATCGACGCACCCTGGCAATGACTTCCACCGCCCTAGGGCGGTAAGCTTACACTTCTAAAATTTGTTGTCACTTTATGACAAAATCGTGGATGATATTCTCATCAGTTTCAAATAATGACAATCTCCTCAAAGTGATGACATTTTCGTCAAAGCCCCTCCTTATTGCATGGGCGTGACAACAATGACATCAATTGTTTTGATGACATCCTTGTAAGGAAAATTTAGCCATGAAATTGTCATCACGTGACGACTTAAATTTTCAGTGTGACGTAACCGAGCATCAGGGAGTCTTCAGCCCGTTAGATCAGTCACATCTGTTGAACAGGTCGAGGATCTGCAGCTGACTGGAACTGCGGCACCGCCCCCACCATCCCTGGAAATTGATGTGTGGGAACTCAGCCCGAGCGAGAAAAACGACCTGCTTGTCGGTGACCGCTTGGCTCGGGTGAGATTCCTTTTCGGCTTCTTTCACGTCGGGAGGGTTTTCAGTTTGAGTTTGAAAGCTAGTCAAATCAATGAATTCAGTCAAACTTGGAGCTCAGAGGGGGTTGTAGCGTAGTGCCAAGTTGGAAACCCGAAGCTGACACTGAGAATGAAAAGAGTCGCAACCAGGACTCATACTTTGGGTGCAGTATTCTTTTGTTATCACCAAATTTGGTTGAGAATTATTTTATCGCCTCAATTTGGATGACGGAGGTTCCCTCACCCAAATCTGGATGATAACACTTTTTGGCTTAAGAGTAGTAAATACACCCTGTATCGCTCAAATTTGGGCAAACGAACCTTCATTTTCCAAATTAGAGTGACAAAATGATCCTCCCCTAAATTTAGGTGGTGGAGTACCTGGACCTCGGCCAAATTATGACATTGGCCGGAACTTCTTTCGCTCTCAGTGTGTACACTGAGAATGAAAAAGATATGATCAATACCCAATTTTGAGCGAGGTTTACTTTCTCACCCAAATTTGGGTGAGGAAACTTTCCTTACCCAAATTTGGGCGAGGAAAATTTCCTCACCCAGATTTGGGTAATAAAGAATTCCTGACCCAAAATTTTAGTCATGATCATGACTCTTTCACCCTCAGTGTGACCTTCACCGTTTTTGTCGACACATCTAGATACATACAGTTCGTGCCTATATTATAACAGCCTAGATTTCTGCCTTCACTTTAAATTTTGACGCTATGTGGCCGTTCGTGTCAGTGGCGGTGGATTAGTAAGAGATTCGCAGTACCGGATGATTCGGATGCAGCCTCGTATTACCCGCACACTCACTAAATTCTCATGGACTTCTTGTCCATAGCTTTGGCCATATTTGTATGCGAAAGTTGTGTACAAATTTGTGCACAAAGTAGGAACAATTTTATGATTACTTAAGCTCAATATGGAAACATTTTCCCTAATTTAAGTACGAAATTCTACATAGCTTGCGTATGTTCAAATATGGCCATAGTTGTGGGCAGTAAAAGCACATAAGCATTTAGTGTGCCGGTTGCGACCCGAAACTAGATCACTTCTGGTTTGGCATCATGGAAGTGACGCTCCGCTGCAACCCTGTCTTTTTTCTTGTTTTTTATATTACCTCGTAGTTGACGACATTATCTGTGTTGTTAGGTCCGAAAGCTCACAGGGCTGCACTGCTACAACGTCGAGAGGAGCATGGCCGTGCTCATGAAACTCAACCCGCACGTCGAGGAGCTTGGGTTGATTGGGGCACAGCTTCCACAACTCCGCTTTGTTGAGGGCATGACCTCTCTGCGCAAGCTGGATCTGGATGTCTCCTCCCTTATTGAGCACGCCGAGTCATACGAAATCCCGGACTTACCTTTGCAGTTGGAGGAGCTGGAAGTGGAAGGATTCAGTCGGAATCTCTTCTATTGCTTGCCCAAATTGCCCAAGTTGCGAAGGCTGGTCCTGACGACTCCAAACTGGGACACGGTGGTTTTAACTGGTGTCGCGTGGCAGTGCGGTCTTCAGTATCTCAACTTTACACAGCAACGAGCACCATATTTTCGTTGGTGCGCGCTCACGCCGCCACGCCGAAGAACTGGGAGTGCAAGTAGCGTCGGGGCCCCCGGCCCTTTTCTTCGACGGGGGACCTGCCCACCAAGCTGCATGGGTGCGGGCTTCTCGCCCTGAGGCGTTTCACTCTGCGCCGCGACGTGTTTCCGCACTATTCTACTTCGTGCTCGCGACAGCTGTCTGACTGCAGGGCACTTTTCGGACCAACCGTCGAGGTGCGGTGCACCGTGTGCAGCGAAGAATAGGGGTAGCTGCGCTGTTGAAGCAAGCGTCAACATAAACCGAAATGGTGACATTTTTCTACAGGCTCCCGGATTGTGATTTTGATGAAGATGAGAGGATGGGTTTTTTATTCATGCTCGTGTACCGATATATGCATTTAATTCTATATTGCTTTTTTTTTTCTGTCTTTTCAATATAATGTTCATTGAAATTATGAGTGTATTCTAGCACAAGGAAAAGAGATTTTCGAAGCGGAAAGAGAGTTTATGCGCACTAGGAAAATTGTGGTATCCTTATGTTAAATTTTAAAAAAAAAAACATTTAAATAAAGTTAAATTAGAAATAAATTTGCACTGAATATCTCAACACATCACTAGTTTTCAGTACCCCTTGATTCGAGCAATAAACGAATTTATTTGCACGCACACACTCTAAATGTTTTTAGTGGTATATGGTTGTACAGCAACAATCAGATGAGTGAAAATTTAGTCGTTCCAAAACATAGAATGTCGTCATGAACCAAAGCAAAACTAATGTCGTTGAATCTAGTCAGAAAAAAGTTGTCGTTGAAGAAAAAATATTCTTGTTATCACCTTTTAAAGATATAATTTTTGTGGAAACAACACCTTTTGCAATCATCTGCTCACTTACAGCATATTATGAAAAATCATGTATTTTGTTCTTCTAAGTCATAGGGAAATTACAATTGTTAAAAAAAGAACCATGCAAAATAAATTTGCTTCAAAAGTACTCCCTAAATACTTTTCGCAGACCCTTACAATAATTACATTACTTACAATACTTGTCGTTGACAAACAACATTTGTTGTGGTCAACGACTTGTTTTTGAAGTTGGACGTTGATGTGTAAATTTCAAGTTAGTTGTGAAATTTTCCTTTAGTTTCCCGTATGACTATAGTTTTTAAAAAGCTATGCATTCCTCAACAAATCTTATCGCTAAAAGTATTAGCGATAAATGTGTCGCTAAGTTACGGCCAAATTTTATCAGCGTATGTGGGGAAAAAAAGGGCCCTGAACGTACTTTGCACTGTAAGGGAGGGTGGGGCAATTCGTCCCCAAACCCCCCCATATTAACGCAAGAGGGCTTTCGAAGGAGGGCGCCTGGCGTGGGTGGAAACCCAGAGGCCTGCAATGACAGTTCCGGCCGGAACGGATACGTTCCTTTCGCGATTAAAGCCACTGGGAACCGATCCGAACTGTTGGTCTGGGGTAATTTTTTCCCCAATCACCCGAGGTCCCAAAATCGATGTCTCCGATTTCGACGAAACTTTGTGGGTGTGTTCCCTATGTAGCAAAGAGCTCCAAAAAAAATTTTCAATTTTTTTGGGTCGGCCCAAAAATTTTTATCACGTATTTTTGCTGAGCGAAGCGAAGCACCCGGTTTGGGATTTTGAATAGCTCATTTGTCCGCCCCCCCCCCCCGATACCTTTATTTACAAGAGGTATCTTCCTCTGTTTATTTTTACTATATTCATATGCGTATACATAGTCGAAGCTCCATAGTCCAAGCTCTATAGCCCAAGTTTATAGTCCAAGCTCCATAGTCCAAGCTCCATAGCCCAAGCTCCATAGTCCAAGCTCCATAGTCCAACTCCATAGCCCAAACTCCATAGCCCTAAGCTCCATAGCCCAATATTCTATAGTCCAAGCTCAATAGCCCAAGCCCAATAGCCCAAAGTCAATAGTCCAAGCTCCATAGTCGTACGCCAAGCGCCATTTAGTTTGAGAATAAGATCTGTCGGAGTAGGGTAAAGATCGGGTTACGAGTAGAGTAAGATCTGTCACGTGCCCGTTAGGTTAGGTTAGGATTGGTTGGAACATTTAGTTTGAGAATAAGATCGGTCGAGAGTAGGGAAAGATCTGTCACGAGTAGAGAAAGATCTGTCACGAGCCCGTTAGGTTAGGTTAGGTTGGGTTTTGGACCATTTATTTTGAGAATAAGATCTGTCGAGAGTAGGGTAAGATCTGTCACGAGTAGAGTAAGATCTGTCAGGGTGCCCGTTAGGTTAGGTTAGGATTGGTTGGAACATTTAGTTTGAGAATAAGATCGGTCGAGAGTAGGGAAAGATCTGTCACGAGTAGAGAAAGATCTGTCACGAGCCCGTTAGGTTAGGTTAGGATTGGTTGGCCCATTTAGTTTGAGAATAAGATCTGTCGAGAGTAGGGAAAGATCTGTCAGGGGTAGAGTAAGATCTGTCACGAGCCCGTTAGGTTAGGTTAGGATTGGTTGGAACATTTAGTTTTAGATTATTAAATAGCCTTCCGTCGATTCAAGGAGAAACCAACCATTGCGGAATCACAATCCTTCGCGCAAAAGCATACTTCCTGGCTATCCCCCCCCCAAAAGAAAAGAGGCTCATTTTCAAAAAAAAACCATCCAAATTTACTACTGATGAAAATGCTTTTCCCATCTCCAGCAGAATCCAGCTCAGCATCGAGGCCGAAGGCCTTCCCCTGGCTAGTGTAAAAAACACTGAAACCTGCACAAAATTTTTTTTTTTGGGTTGCCTGAGGGTGACCTCCCCGGGTTTGATTTTTTTTTTTCATGGTACTGAAAAAAAAAAATCCCCGGGGCCACTCAAAAAGTCACTTGTTCCAGGAGATATGGACCAAAAAAATTTGTTTTTCGCGAATACCCAAAAAAAGCATCCGAATTTTTTTATGATAATTTTTTTTTGGAAGGTCCTGTGGTGGTCTATCCCCCCTTATTTTTGGGTTTTTGGGGTTTTGGGCCAAAGGAAAACCGAATAAAAAATTTCGTTTTTTCCGTTTTTTTCGCAGTTTTGGCCCATAGTATCGCCATTTTAAGTCTGACTTAATGAGTGCCATTAGACTTTTTTTTGCCTTTTAAGACGAATCGATTGATATAAGTTGAAGTCAAATCGGAGTATTTTTAAAATCGCCTATTTTACGATCGGGATCCAACTAATCTAGATGCGTAAAAAAAGGGGATTTTTAAAATACTCCGATTTGACTTCAACTTATATCAATCGATAAAATGGCGATACTATGGGCCAAAAAAATGCGAAAAAACGGGAAAAAAAACAATTTTTATTCGGTTTTCCATTGTCCAAACCCAAAACCAATAAGGGTGATAGACCACCACAGGACCTTCCTAAAAAAAAATTATCATCAAAAAAATTCGGATGCATTTTTTGGGTATTCGCGAAAAAAAAGAATTTTTTGGTCCTTATCTCCTGGAACAAGTGACTTTAACAGTGGCCCCGGGGACCTTTTTTTTTCAGTACCCTGAAAGAAAAAAAAATCAACCGGGCAGGTCCCCCCTCAGGCAACAAACAAATTTTTTGTGCAGGTTTCAGTGTTTTTTTCAAAATACGTGATAAAAATTTTTTTGGGGCCCACCAAAAAAGTTTTAAAATTTTTTCTGGAGCTCTTTGCTACTAGGGAAAAACACCCCAAAGTTTCGTCGAAATCGGAGACATCGATTTCGGGACCTCGGGTGACTTGGGAAAGAATTACCCCTCGGTTGGCTTCATAGCTATTGGATCTACAAGAACTGTTGACAACCTTCAAGTCCCGGCACCTCCCAAACGGTTTTTTTTTTTTTTTTTTTTTTTTGTTTTTAAAGATTTTTTTTTCTGTGGCAGCTGTTGGATGTTCGGCTGTCTGTACGGAACAAGTGCTTACTTTTGCGCGGTTACAAAAGTCATTTACACCGAAAAAAAAATTTTTGCTTCTGCCGGGGTTCGAAGCCGCACTGCCAAAATCGACTCGTGAAGCTCAGCGACGGAACCGAATCATGCCCTCTCTGTTGACTAACCATTGCAGACCTCTGGTGGCAGCAGAGTAAAGGTGCCCCCTACACTCGTTGAGTTTTTTCGATGCGTCTATTAATTTTTTATATCCCTCGATCTTGTTGATTTACAAGGCGATTCCATGCCCCAAAACCCAAAGAAACTCTTGGAAATTCATTTCTTTGATTTGGGGTGAAACTTTTTTTTGGGGTAGGGATCAATATGAAAAGATTCAATATCAAAGGGTTTTGCGATATCTATCCCGTTTGCTGTAATAACATAGCGAAGGTTTCTTTTTGGTCAGAATCATGATATTTTTTTTATTTTTCTCCGTACTTACTTGAAGTTTTCGATTTGTTCCGAGAATGGTTCTTTACGTAAAAAGAGCTGGGAAAAAACGATGGAAATAGTTTCGAGTCGATTGGGTGAAGTTTTGATGTCGGTTTCTCCCCTTTAACGTAATTTTTTTTTCCCAAAAGTCGATCACTGTTAAATAAAATCTGAAAATTCAGACCGCTTTTGTCAGACTTGGTGGTCTGAATCTTTTTTCAGACTAGTTTCAGACTGCTTGTCTGAAAATTTTGCCTTCCGGTATGAAAATTGCGACCTGATCGTCCAGAACCTGAATTTAGACCAGCGCAGTCTGAAAATTTAGATGGTTAAGTCTGAAAATTCAGACCAACCCAAGATTTCGTTTGTCCGCTAGATGGCGCGCATGTTGTGGAACATACCTACTTCTGTTTAAAAGGCTTCTAATGTGAAAATATATTAGTTGAAAAGTTCCAAATTGACAGGACTTAATCGGCCATATGGGGAACCATTCTCTGCTGCAAGATTTATCTCCGTAATATGGGTGGAAGTTGAAAAATCCACA